TTTATCTACAGTGGCCAGAGAGGAGTGATCGCTACAACCCACAAAATTGTTTCGATGGAGAATGTGACTGATGACACAACTTGTGGGGAGGGGAAAACAGGGTCAGAGTTGGAACGCAAATTACGTGGGGTCAGAGTTGGCTTCACTTGGAACGTGCTGACATGAAGCTCCTAATAAATAATTGGATTTTTTTTTAAGCTTGGCTCGAGGCTCATGATTTAATTAGGGCATCGGTTGGAATCCTGACATCTGCTTTATGGTAAACGTTATTTTGCTCTTTTCAAATACTGAAAAATACACCAAATTTCCTGTGGATCACTTTTCAAACATCAACTGAGATGACAGCATACCTAAGATTGAATCTCTGGTATCAAGAAAATTTGGGGATCATTGTAGTTTCCCTTTGCCTTGTTTCTATTTTTGGTAACAGGCTTAATCTTGGGAATCATTTAATTCCCAAAAACTCACTTACTGAAAGCTAACAGTCAGGATCTCCTCTATTTTATTTATTTATGTACCGTATTTTTTGGAGTATAAGGCACACCTTTTTTTACCAAAATGAGGGTGAAAATCTGGGTTGGTTTTATACTCGGAATGTAGCCCCACCCAGCTTCTCAAATGGAGGTTTCAGAGGCTGAAAAAAGCATCAGAAACGAAGCTTCAGAAAAGAAGCCCCCAAACAGAGCTTCAGAGGCTTTTTTTCCTGAAACTGTTTTGGAGGCTTTCAGAGGCAGGAAAAAAAGTTTTTTCTGAAACATGGTTTACAGAGTCACCATCTTGCTCCCAATAATCCTTTTACCGACCGCAGAAGGATGCAAGGCTGAGTCATCCTTGAGCCAGTCAGGATCGAACTCCTGCTGAATGAGCAGTGAGTTAGCCTGCAATACTGCTATCATAGTTGACTTGCTACGCAGTCTTGCTTTTTTGTTGTTAGTTGTGAAGTTGTGTCTGACCCATCGTGACCCATGGACAATGTTCCTCCAGGCCTTCCTGTCCTCTACCATCCTCTGGAGTCCATTTAAGCTCACTCCTACTGCTTCAGTGACTCCATCTAGCCACTCGTTCTCTGTCATCCCCTTCTTCTTTTGCCCTCAATCGTTCTCAGCATTAGGCTCTTCTCCAGTGAGTTCTTCCTTCTCATTAGGTGACCAAAGTATTTGAGTTTCATCTTCAGGATCTGGCCTTGCTTGCAACCAGACAACTATAACAGGAGGGGGAAGGGAAGGCCTTGGAATCTAAGGGAGGCTTGGGAAGGAAATTTGGAATGCAAGTGTGTCAACTGGAAGTCTGAGACAGATCCAATATCTCAAGGTCACCAGCTGGGGAAGTCTGAGGCAGACAGACTGTTCCCAAAACAAAGAAAGTGCAAATGCATGGTGGACAATGGACAATGGGAGGTCCAGGAGGGGAAGGGGAAGTTTTCCTATGCTATTTGGACAGGAAATCATTAGAACTGGCTTTTCTCCTGTACCTACATGGAATCTTCAGTAAAGTTACCTTATTTATTGGAGTATAAGATGCACTCCCCCCCCCTCAGAAGAGCCTGATAACTTGGGTGCATCTTATATTCCAAATGTAGCCCCACCCACCAGCCGGCCCCCACCCTTCGGCCTCAGCATTTTATTTTATTTATTTTTATTTTATTAGATTTCTATACCGCCCTTCTCCCGAAGGACTCAGGGCGGTGAACAGCCAAAAAATAAAACACAGGAATACAAAATTTAAAATAGATTAAAACAGATTAAACAATTTGGCTCAATTTTAAAAATATCCCATAATTAAACAAATTAAAATTAGTGTTTAAAATTTAAATTTTAAAATTTTAAAAGGGAGAAGATTTAGGCCAGACCAGCTTGATGAAATAAAAACGTTTTATTGTGGAGCACGTCCTCTTCCTGGCTGCAGAGATTGCCAGAGACAATGGGTCTCATTCACAGCCTCCAAACGCTCCGTTTGAGAGCCGTTCAAGGCTGTGGGGATTGCCAAAACACATCGCCACTGATCGCTGCCTGTGCACATTGTGTTTTCGGCCTCTGTGCATCGCGTTTTAGGCTTCAGCATGCCCCATTTTTGCCTTCTACACATCATGTTTTCGGGTAGCAATGGGCGGTGATGTGCTTTTTACGATCCCCGCAGCCATGAACAGTTCTCAAATGGAGCATTTGGAGGCTGAAAATGCAAGGCGCAGAGCCCAAAATGGCAACCCATTTTGCCAAAGCTACTGCCTTGTCTTACTGCTTCCATGCTTCACCTGCTTTACTAAGTGGAGCTCCCTCTGACAATCAGCTGTGCTTTTTCAGCTGTTTATCTGCCCCAGTGCACGCTCACAACCAGCAAACTAACGTGTGCTAAAGCTAATCAGGCTAGCCAGATAAATACCTGGTAGGCAGAGGCAGATTTTTTTTTTCCTATTTTCCTTTCCAAAAACTAAGGTGCCTCTTATACTCCGGAGCATCTTATACTCCAAAAAATATGGCATACTCTTGGCAAAAAAATGTCCCAGGAGTTTCTTTTGCTGTCTAACCCAATGGGACAATTGACAACTGCATTCTAACTGACTGACTGACTGACTGACTGAAGCTGATGTAGATGGGATGTTCAGTTGCCTTTTTGTTTTGTAACTACATGAAATTAGTGTAGATATAGAGTGAAAGGCAGGGCAAGCATATCATTGACTGGGAATCTTGGATTCTGGGAATCCTGAATTATGCCTACTTTATCACTTTATGGCTGAAGGCTGTACAATTTAAAGCTTTGTTTTTACTTTGTATCTTGTTGCAAAAATGTATGTAAAACTTGTTGGTTTGAGAGCTGTTGTGCTTGAGGCGTAAAATATTCCTGAGCATCTTTTTTTGGTCAGAAGTAAATATTTTATTATTATCTCCATCCTCAGTGTGTTTTATTGGGCCTTGCATACCAGCCCTGAATCCAGAGATTTAGAATGTTTCCAAAAATTTCCTTTCTTCTGCAATAGATTCTCTTTTCCAATTTCATTTTGGAAAAAAAAATGTGTAGGTATCTTCAGTGCTTAGCCATCCTTTCCCCTTTCAATCAAATATTTCCTATTCTGCCAATCAGGGTTTCTTGGTCAATTCATTGCTTTGCTTACATAATCTCTCCTGTCACCTTTCTCTTTGCAAGCAGGAACATCATACCACCATCTCCCACACAATCCTGGCCTCTTAGTTCCATTGTGGGGTCTATTAGTCTCAACTCTCCGCTGATAAGGCTCCCCCCCACTCAACCCACTATGGAGGAATGGCTGGTGAATTTGGTAGAATAGCTGAAATGGATAAATTAACTTCTTTGATTAGAGAAAGGAAATGATCTATATTAATTGATAACTAGAAGCCTCTTATACATTTCTTCATAAAAAAAATGCCAATAGAGAATATTTGTTGTTCAGGATTGAAATGAGGGATCCTTGGTTCCCTCTGAGCTTTCTTGCTTTCTTGCAGATGTTTCATGACCCAAACTAATAACATCATCATTGTTAGTCACTCATGATAGTTATCAGCCCGGATGATGTTTCCCTCCCCCCGGATGCCATCACTCTGCTTAACAACTAATTCCCACAACACTGTCAAATAATGTATTACTATTATTATTCTCTTCCTTACTAGTATTTATCTCTTCCCACTTATTACTATAACCATGTTGCTTGTATCTTTCAATTTATATTGTTTTTATTTGTTTCCTAGTACAATTTGATAGCTTATTGACTTGACTATCACTAAGTGTTGGATCTTTTTATTCTTGATGAATGTATTTTATTCTCCTTATGTACACTGAGAGCATATGCACCTAAGACAGATTCCTTGAGTGTCCAATCACACTTGGCCAATAAAGAATTCTATTCTATCTTACCTAGTTTGGGACATGAAACATCTGCAAGAAAACAAGCACGCATAGGGAGCACCAAGAACCCCACAAATAAAAAGAATTTAACTTCTGATCTATAGTTTTGATTGCTAGACAGGATAGATTATAGGGAAAAAATACTTTCTTCTACCTGTTTGGTAGATCTTAATAATTATAAATATTTTATTAGTGAATTAATGTCCATTGGATTAAAAAAAATGTGATGATCATTTATGTTGCAGCTTTATTTTCCCCAATTGTTTGGCCTTATTTCTCTGAATCTGAGAGATTAAAAACACTTTTTCCTTTTGTAAAAGTAAGCTGTTCACCCCAGAGGTGGGTTTCAGCAGGTTCTGAGCGGTTCGGGAGAACCAGTAGGGGAAATTTTGAGTAGTTTGGAGAACCAGTAAATACCACCTCTGACCGGCTCCGCCCCCATCTATTCTCTGCCTCCTGAGTCCCAGCTGATCAGGAGGAAATGGGGATTTTGCAGTAACCTTCCCCTGGAGTGGGGAGGGAATGGAGATTTTACACTATCCTTCCCCTGCCATGCCCACCAAGCCACACCCACCAAGCCACACCCACAGAAGCGATAGGGTTAGGCACAGTAAAAAGCATTTATGGAATGGGGGAAGTCCAAGACTTTTAATAGGGTACAGAAACAAATGTTACAAACATTTGGTACATGTGATACATCAGAAATAAACCAATGAAAGAGTGAAAGACATTTATTACATTTGACAAGTGAACAATAGAAAATATTGACTAGAGATTACTTTCCACATGAGGTAAATTTATGGGTTACATCATGCTCTTTCCAAGATGGATTAGTATCTTACTTAAAACTTGCAAGTGTATTCAATTACTGTCAGAATACACTGACTAAGATTCAGTTTTGAAAAGGCTGTTTTTCCCCCATGAAAAAACAGAAGAAAAACTTGTTTTCCTAAAATCTGAAAGGAGGTCAACACTGCCAGACTAAAATTCTATTAACATCCTCACTTAAAGGCTAATAATGAAGCCCAAAATGTAAATAATACTACCAGACACAGAAACATAAAAACATGGAAATTAGGCTTAAGCAGGAGATCACTTCAAAAAGCAGCCTGATAGTGTTTTCTCCTGAAAAGTACCCAATGTGTGAGAATTATATTGGGTGGGAATTATATCCCCAGAACATCCATCAGCATCACTTTTTTACTTCACTTTTGAACATCAGATGTTCCTTTGTATTCAGATCTGGCCTCAGCAAAATGATGTAACACTTGGGGATGAAGATGCAACCCAGCAGCCCAGCACTGGAAGCCAAGATGGAGAAGACCTGCACAGCAACCGTGAATTTCCCTTTGGTGCTCAGATAGGTAGGCACAAAGGAGATCCAGACACTGCAAAAGACCAGCATGCTGAAGGTGATCAGCTTGGCTTCGTTGAAGGACCCAGGTAGATTCCTGGCCAGGAAGGCCACTATGAAGCAAATGGCAGCCTGAGAACCCATGTAACCAAGGGCAACATAAAACATAGTGACCAAGCCTTCATTGCACTGCAAAACAATCTCTCTAGGCTGGGAATACATGTCAGAATCAGGGAATGAAGGAAAGACTCCTAACCAGGTGAAACAAATGACAACCTGGACACTGGAACAAGAAATGATGATGGTGTTGGTCAGACTCTTGCCCAGCCATCCTCTCACTCTGCTTCCTGGCTTTGTGGCCAGGAAGGCCAGCACCACCATGACTGTTTTAGCCAAGACGGTAGACACGGCAATTGAGAAGATGATGCTGAAAATTGTTTGTCGGAGAAGGCAGGTGGTTCTCCCTGGCTGACCAATGAAGAGAAAGGAAGTCAAGAAGCAAAGAAGAAGGGAGACCAGGAGGATATAGGAGAGGTCCCGGTTGTTGGCTTTGACAATTGGAGTTTCTTGGAATTTAATGAAGATTCCCAAGATTAAAACTGTGGTTAAGATCAGGAATAGGGCAAAGAAAGTAAGAATAATTCCCAAATACTCTTGATGGGACAAAAAAGTGACTGTTTTGAGGATACATTGATCTCGAGGCTTGTTCTGATACTGATTGTCTGGACACCTGGTGCAGTGGTCTGCATCTATAGAGGACAAATATAATATTTACCATGAATTCATAGGATGTAAGTTAGATTTTGAAATCAGGAAGCCCACATCTGAATTTGTGTGTGTATTCATCTGCAGGGGATGGGAGGCAGAGATAAAAAAATAGGAGTATGTGTATACCTGTGCTTCTTTGCCTTAGTATGTGTCTCAAGTTGATAAAGTGTAGCTAGATTAGGGGCAGAATTTGAGAGGAGACAATTCTAATAAGCAAAAGGGGAGAAGGGACAACCATTTACATCAGGGGTGTCAAACTTAATTTCATTGAGGACTGCATCAGGGCTATGGTTGACCTGGGAGGGGGGGGTCAGGCATGGCTGACTGGGTGGGTGTGGCCAACTGGCTGGGTATGGCCAGCTTGACACCACTCCCCAAACTGCTAGCATGTTTCCTCTTTGCATTGGGTAGACCAGGCTGAAGCCAGGCTAGCCTGAGATTTCCTCTACTCATTGGGTAGACCAGGACGGCCCCATGGGCCGGATCGCACCACATCACAGGCCGGATGCAACCCATGGGCCCAGAGTTTGACACCCCTGATCTACATCATGTAGGAAGGTTTCTAATGGACTAGGATTACACAACTTGACAAGTTTGGAATATTCTGGTTTTCCAAACTGGAGTTTGATTTGTCCCATTACCCATTAATTGGAGGATCAAATTGAAATTCAATAGCAATATTGTTCAACTGCAATAGCAGTTTTGAATAGCAGCAATATTGAACAAAAGCAATATTGTTCAATATTGTATTGCTTTCATTTTGTCCCACCAAATCCCAATGGTTAATGATTAAAAAGGGGCAGATAAAGTTGCCTGGTTTTCTCTCTAATCGCCATAATGAGGAGAGGTTCCTCTCCGGTAGCAATGTATTCTCCCAAATAGCTACTCCACAGGAAACACAGATCATGCCTGCCTACTCCTTGGATACTTTGGAGGAAGATGGTTAGGCAGAAATGGGTCTATCCCGATACCATCCTGGAATGGAGGAGATGGCAAGATTACTGACTAGGTCCTGTGTGAGTTGGCTGTCAGGCCTTGAAACCATCTTTTTCATTGCATGTTCACGCCTGCCACATTTACTACTGTGGGAAACTGTGATGGGGGGATTGTATGGAGCATGGGTGATAAATACAGGTAGTCATAATAGCATTCCTTTCTCAGAAAGTCAAGGACATCTTGCTCTGAACCTGGAGGGTTAGAAGTGGGAGGCATCTCCAGTCAGCATGGTGTTTGGATTGGGCCATGTGATGGACTTGTGGGTGTTGGGCAGGGACTTGAACTTTCCTTTGGGTGGGGAAAACCTGGAAGTTTTCAGATTTGGGTTTTCCCAGATGTGCCAATATGACATCTTCAATAAAATGTAACTTTGAGGAAGGTCAAGCCTCGGAGTTCTCTTTCATTGGGGATGTTACTTGGAACTCTGACATTGGAGATTAATTTATCTCAATGGAGAGCTTCATACTGTAGAAGCAACATCATTCTGTTTGTCATGGTGAAACAACGGGCTGCTTCATGTCACTTCAACTGATCCTTCACAAAGTCACATATGCTTCTCGATAGCTGCTTGGCTTCTTCTACACTTAATCTCTCCTTCCAATGAATTGTCCCTGGTAATATTATTGTTATATCCTTGGTGAAATTAATTCTGATAGTTAAATTAATACTCCCCCCACCCAATACTTAGAAAAGATCTGCAGGAACCTTTGCTCCTATCCCAAGGGCTGTTTTGATTCCCATTCACCAACCTTCTTGGGTGGAAATGCTCCCTTCTGCACAAGGGACGCAGTTGTAGCAACAGACTGGTTTTCCTTCCTGGACCACCTTGAAATAGCCAGGTTGACAAGGCTCCACACACTGGGAGTGAGGCAAGGGCTGAAAGTGAATAAAATTTGCATTCAGAAGTATCTGCAAAACTGATTAGTTATGAAATGAATTATAGTGTTGGAATGGGATTGTCAGGTCCCATAGCTTATCTCGTCTCCAGAGAAGAGCAGCAGCGTTGCCTTGGAGACCGGCATTTAACACCTCCTTCGCCTGAGTATCTCATAGTATCTTTACAATTCGAGATTGGCTTGGTGATGTATTGGGCTTTGGGAGGGGCTCTGTCTGCACTTTACTGTTTTGAGTGGGAAACTTAATTCCTGCCTGGATCTCTTGCTATCACAATCTTCCAATAAAAGTTTCCTTTTGAAATGGCTTTTGTTTCATGAGGACTGCTTTCTTGAGAGGACTGGAGAGGCAGGACCTTACAGGGACCAACAAAAGAGGCATGTGCAAAATGGACTAGAAGTGGACCATTCTGTTTCTCCTCTGGGCCATGTTGTGGTGGCCACTTCAGAGAATTTTCTAGAAAGTTACTCTTGAAACTGGAAGCATGATAGTCAGACATGCTTCCATTTTGGAGGACTGTCTCTGGAAGGCTGTCAGAGAAACTTTTGGAAAAACACATCATATGGAGGAGAAATTAAAATTCCGAAATTCTTCAATATGATGGGTTTTGCACTTTTCTTCTACCAAATAAGGTCAAATTCTTGAATGTATACATGTCCAAATGAACATGTGTAACTCAATTGATTTTACTTCTCCCCTCCTCCTAAATCCTGCTTCCATTTCCCTCCATCTCCACATTTTTTCCCTCTATGTCCCCAGACCAAAGTCTTCTACTGAATAAGTCATAAAGCATCTTTTCCTTTGCTGGTTATAAATGAAAGAATATAATTCTGAAGCATGAATTTGAAGGCAGTCAGGCTTACATACTGTTTGGGATGGAGGGGTACACTGATTGAGATGATGGACAAAACTACTGTGTTTTCCCCAAAATAAGACCCTGTCTTATATTTTTTGAACCCTGAAATCAGTGCTTGGTCTTATTTTTGGGGAGGTCTTATTATTTTGGGGTGTGTGGAGCAAGACAAGGGTCCTCTTGCTGATTTCCAGCTCTGTCTCCCTAACCCTAACTAGAGGAAATGGCGAGGACTGTCTGCACATGTGCTTAAATATTTTTAGGGAGGGCTTTTTTTGGGGGGGGGGAAATTATTTTAGTGCATGTGCTCAAAAACCTGACTGGATTTATTATCAGGGAATGTCTTATTTTCAGGGAAACACAGTAAAGAGATAGGACACCTCTTCCTCTACCTGATTGAGCCACTGAGGGCTCGTGATGGCTTCCTTGTTGATGCTGAATTTGACTCCAATGGTTCCTTCTCTGTCTAGACTCCCAAATTTCACTCTGGTGGTCGATTTATTAGGAAACAACACCCAGCTCACAATGTCAAAGTCAGCCATCAAATCTCCATTTCTATCCAAATACATTCCTTCTATGGTGTTGTTGTAGATCTGAGGATTCTTCAGGAAATGGTGAAGCTACAGAATATAAGGAAAGAGGTTTTTACACAAATGGAATCATCTAAACAAGTTGATGTACAAAGATATAAGGAATTTGGCTTATTGAGCTGCAGCCTGTTTTCTTCTCAGGACAATCTGCATAGATTTGTCCTACAGGTACTAATAGCGGATGTTTTCTTTCCTACATCTGGCATTCCCAACTAGCCCATATTTTCTTGTTTTCTGGTTTTATTTCTCCCCTTAGTTCTCTTGAAGATAAGCAGATGGCAGAAGGGCAGGAGACGGGAAATCCATTACCTACAAATATATTTGCTTACATTATCTGTTGCTTATCCATGAGTTTTCCCCTCCTCCCTGAGATGCCCTGCATAGCTATAGATACATCCTTTTGTCTACAGAGTTTTATCTTAAGATTCCTTGGAGAGTTTCTCCTGTGCACATTGAATAACAAACACCGCAATGAGCCTTGATTATTTATTTTGGGTCCTGTGTTTTGATTCCACAAGAGAGATAGATTAACAGAGTTGGTAGGGACCTTGTAGGTCATCTAGTCCAACCCCAATGATGAAGTTCACACAACTTCTGAAGGCAAGCTGTTCCATTGGTTGATTGTTCACACTGTCAGAAAATGTCTCCTTATTGTAGAAGATACAGCATCAGTTTGTACAACTCAGTCCTGGAAATATAATAATTGAATAATTATAATAATAATTTACCAAAGTTGGAAGGGACGTTGGAGGTCTCCTAGTCCAACTCCCTGCTTAGGCAGGAAACGCTACACTACTTCAGACAAATGGTTATCTAATCTCTTCTTATAAATTGCCTGTGTTATGAATTGGCTTTCGGAAATTGGGAAGCAAATGTCAATATTTATAATTGACTCTTCCATCTGCTCATTATCTAAATAAAGCTTGAATACTGATTCTGAGGGAAAGCTTGAATATTATTCTGGCACTCTTCAGGTGATTTTACAAGAATATACACTGATAATTTTAATATTAAGTACAATGTTTTGTTATATTATAATAAATTGGAAGATAATCCAAAATCCCTTTCTACAAGTATCAAATTCTAGAATCTGAAGAAAGAAAAGCTCAAAGCACATGAAGTACAATACATGAAGTAAAATAATTGTAGTGGTGTGTGACAACATAGGCAAGATATAATTTGCCATTCACAATGTAAAAATGTAAAGGCCAAATGTAAAAGAAAGAGTAATTCAATATTTAATGTTACATGTAATAACAGCGTCAACAGAATTACGTATGCACAAAATTGGAAAAACCAAAGTATACCTACAGAGGAAATGGTAATAAAGAAAATATTAGAATGTGCCAAAATGGACAAGTTAATGATGGAAATTAAAGACAAAGGAGAAACAACATATTACTAAAATATGGGGCCTATTGGCTAGATAATAGATGCAAAGCTTAGTAAATTAATGATGAAAGAGGGTCAATACGTTAGAAACGAATAAAGTTATAAAACCATATAGAAGAATATATATTGGAAGCAATATTATTATTAGACTGTACATAATTGCAAATTAAAATATATAAGAGTGCTAAATGTATAGAGAATTATGTTATAACTATGCAACCAAGCGATATAAGTATGTTATATAATATCAAGTCCTACGGACTATACTCTATGATTAAGAGAAAAAGTGTGGTAATTAGGATGTATAACATTATATATATTTAAAAAGGTGCTGATACAACCAGTATATCCTCTCACCTTTCAGCTCCAATCCAGGAGCCCTCAAGCAGCCACTAGCTGATGACTAGCTGATGAAAGCTAAAAAGCTTGAAATAGATCTATACTAGTCTCCTTCATTTCTTTATCAGCAAAATATAAATTTGGTATAAAATGGTTTATTGTGTATGCAAGTCTTGGCATATACGGGTCTTTTCTCGTGTAAGATTGAGAGTATCTTGGCGACATTTCGACAAAGTTTCACTTGTCATCTTCAGGCTGGTGCTTTTGGCTTTGTGCTTGTGTGAGCAAAGCGTGATCGGAGCTGCCGTCTCTCTATAAATACTGGTGGGGAGGTGGGGAGTTCTGGCTTTGTTGCTGTAAGTGGGTTGGTTGGCTGTGTTGTTACATCTTGATTAGTTGATGGAGCTGATGTTTACAGTTTAGTCAGCTGTTTCATAACATCCTGTGTGGGTGAGGCCCTGCCTATTAGTCTTTTGTGTTTTAACGACCTAGGTAATGGGTTGTGTAGTAGCATCCTGAGCTCTATTGTTATGATGTCCTGAGTATTGTGCTGCAACATTCTGGGTAGTTGGCTGTGTTGTAGCATCCTGAGCTTCAGTGTTGTGGCATTCTGAGTTCTGTGATGTGATATCCTGAGCAGATGGTTGTGATGCAGCATCCCGGGCTTAGGTTTGGCTTCGAGTTTGAGGTCTTGTCATGTGTTCATGGTGTGTGTCAGTTTGCTTTGTGTGGGGATCGAAGTGGGGGGGGTGCAGCAGCTGGTGATGCTGCTGTGGTCTGGCTTCTGGATGGTGGTTGTATTTCGTCTATGGGATGAGATTGGGTTTGAATCTGGTGAGGATGATTGGTGGTGGTGTCATGATTTGTCCTGGATCCGGTGTCAATTTTCATGGCTGGCACTCGTTTGTTGGCTAGGGCTAGTTTCCAGATGTCTGGTAGGCAGGAGGTATCATCACGTTTATTCATGTTATGGTGGTGTTTCTCTATTTCTATGGCTTCCATGATTATTCTCTTGTTGAAGTGTTCAGTTTTGGAGATTAGTTTGGTTCCTTCAAAGTCAAAGTACCTGTAAAGGTACAATATCTATTTTCTTACAGAGAGGATACATGAGATGTGGGTGTGGCTTACTGATGATGGCTAACGAGCCAGAAATAGATCTATATAAGTCTCTCATCTGGCAGCAAGAACTTGCTGGCTGCCAGAAAGAAAAAAGCCCAGAATCGAGTGGATGTGATTCTACTGAGCTAGGGCTGCAGAAAAACCTTGGTTACGTAAGAAAAACCTGGCTAGAGGAAAAACACACATAAATCCTACGAAGAAGTAAGAAAATAGATATGGTACCTTTACAGGGAGGATACATGAGATGTGGGTGTGGCTTACTGATGATGGCTAACAAGCCAGAAATAGATCTATATAAGTCTCTCACCTGGCAGCAAGAACTTGCTGGCTGCCAGAAAGAAAAAAGCCCAGAATCGAGTGGATGTGATTCTACTGAGCTAGGGCTGCAGAAAAACCTTGGTTACGTAAGAAAAACCTGGCTAGAGGAAAAACACACATAAATCCTACGAAGAAGTAAGAAAATAGATATGGTACCTTTACAGGGAGGATACATGAGATGTGGGTGTGGCTTACTGATGATGGCTAACAAGCCAGAAATAGATCTATATAAGTCTCTCACCTGGCAGCAAGAACTTGCTGGCTGCCAGAAAGAAAAAAGCCCAGAATCGAGTGGATGTGATTCTACTGAGCTAGGGCTGCAGAAAAACCTTGGTTACGTAGGAAAAACCTGGCTAGAGGAAAAACACACAGACACAAAGACACACACACACACACACATATATATGCAAAAAATTAAAATCTCGGGTGTGTTCCCGCGTCATTATAAATAAGTTGGTTAAAATATTTAAAATCCTGGTTAAAATCCCAGCTTAAAATCTTCTAAAATTCCTTACAGAGCACTCTGTAAGGTCCTTTAAAACCTCAGCTAAAATCCTACCAGTGACTTTAAAAGTTTTTCTTAAAGCAACGTTTCGACAGGCTCACAACCCTGTCATCTTCAGGCTCTTGTTTCACGTAGAAGCTATGGGTTCTCTGTTGTGGGGCCGGAGCTGTCGCTTATCTATATTATCTATATATATATATATATATGAAAGAGGAGGAAAAGGGATCTTATGAAACAAAATGATTCATAACAGGTATTTTTTTCTCAATGTATATGACATTTCTCAAAGAGTGTTTCACGATGTTCACCATCTAGATGTCGCCCTTAGCAAGTTACATGGAACCAAAAAGGAAATACCTGCCATGGTTGAATGTTTTCAACTTCCACCTTGTCTTTTCTCTCCATCCTTGTTCTCTGGGATCTGGGTGAATTGACCACATTTAAGGCATGTGCCACAATCTGGATGGCATTGTAAGTTAAGGAGTTATCTAGAGAAAAGATCCTGTCAATCTTCTGCTGAGGTAGAGTTTCCAAGTTCTCTTTCTCTGTACATCTTGTCCAGCCTTTCACAGACAAGGCAGGCTTCCCATATGAGCAATGAAATTTCTTAGTCATAAATGCTTTGAGAAAAAGATAGAAATCTATGATATCATCAAATTTGGTCCTTTGGCTGGTCTGGATAAGAAAAGAAAAAATGATATGGGTGTATCTGAAAGAGAGAGTATTATATGATAATTCAATGGTGAGATCCCACAAAGCGGTTGTGATCCAAACTTTTCCTTCAATAGGCTTTCGCAGGGAATTTAATATATGTTCTAGGAGAAAGGCTCCCTCGATGAATGTAAACTCTGAGTAATAAACAAATACATTGATTTGGGCCCACAGGTTGAAAACAGAAATCAGATGCTGGAAGTTCTCATCATTTAATAATATGATTTGTGAAAAAACAACACAGATGCCATTCTGAGCCAGCACAGGACCGAAGGTCCTAATGAAATGTTCTCCGTTATCACTGTCTGCAGCAAAGACGCCAATGAATGTCCATCGAAAATACAGCAGCAATTTAATAATCCCCAGGTTTTGAGCACCTTCTTTAGGGACAGTCCGGTAGGGAAAAGGTAACTGAGTTTTATCACTCAGGATCGGTGAAATAAAAGTGTAGCTGATCTGGAGTGAAAAAAAGGAGATTTATACAACAGTGGCCACTATTGTTTATTTTAACTTTAGAAGTTTTGCTGAATAAGATACGTGATTCTGAGAAAATAAAAGGAATTGTAATTAGACAGCAGGATTATAGATTAAGAGCGTTTGCAGACAACCTGGTTCTTACTTTATCTCAACCTATAGAAGTGGCTCC